TCCACCACTTTTTTTTCTTTTTAGAGGTCGTCATGCCCTTATTCTCCTGGGTGGGTTGCTTGGAGCTCCCTTGGTCATGTTGCTTAGGATGGTTAGGGATAAGCTCTTTGCGGCTTGTAGGCTCGAGTTGTAGCACCTTGAAGAAGCCGACTGCTCGACCATGGTTGTGACTTCCTTGGCGCTGGAGGTTGGCTCAACAAGCATCAAGATGAAGAGGGAATTTGCACACGTAAATAAAGATATTAGTATAAATTTCAGGTCTTAAGAAAGTTTGTCAAAATATGAGGAAAGCCACCTAAGTCAGTAATGGGAAAAACTTTAAGCGACGTCAACCCACAGTGAACTCTTAGTTAGGGGTTGTCCGTGAGCTTACCAATACTGAATGGAAATTGGTTATATTCACGAATCATCTCGTCACAACATTTAGAGGGCTTAGCTTTTTTAGCTGGCCGCATACCTCTTCAGCCAGTCAGGGGAGAAGTCAAGTGTGTTTGGTGAAGGTCAAACGAAAAGTGTTTGGTTTTCCAGGCCGAACATTGGAAGGTAAGCAGAGAGGTAATAAGATCCTTTCTGGGTTTCATATAATAACAATAGAAGAAAAGGTCGATATCTAGCATTTGCAAATGACATCTACTAAGGATGGTAAATCGTACCATAAGGCAGATGAAATTGGCGGTAAAGTGGTTTAAAGGGATTCTATAGAGTCAGCTAAGTTCTATTGGTTCCTCTTTAGGAGAAAATTCAGCCAACTTGGATTTGGTCTACAAAGAAGGGTAGATGTCTGATAGAGGGTGGCTGAAGGTGTTGGTGAGTATACCAAAAGTTTTGCTTTAATTTAAACCATATTTCAATGTTTAGTATATTTTTTGTTGATCGGGATCTTAAAAAAAAACTGGAGAGTGACCTTCCCCATGGGTACGACTTCTCCGCCATTAAATCCAAAGAACATCATGTTGACCTCTCTCAACTCGACCTCTTGGTCCATTCGCATGAAACAATCGTATAACATCACGTCCACCGAGCTCCCCCTTTCGATGAATATACGTTGGACCTCGTAACTTGCGACCTACGCAGAGATGACCAGCTCATCATTGTGAGGAACATGATCTTTTTGTACATCTTCTGACTTAAACTTTATGACGGTCTCTCATGCTGCAAGCCCGATCTTCTCTTTTTTTTTTTTTTTTT